AGGAATGCTTTGGAAGGTTTTCATTTTTATTTTTGTGTGTGCTTTTTTCTTTTTCCTTTTATAGTAGTATAGTAGTAGTAGCTTAATAAAGTTTTTTTCCTTGTTATTAAGCTTGGGCCTGCTTTGCTCTGTTCTCAATCGCATTTCACAGCATTCAATTGAGAGATTGTATTTTCATGGGGGCACTGGCATTGTGCCAGTGTCAAACCATAACAAGCTAATAGAGAGTGTCCAAGGGAGGGCAACAAAGGTGGTGAACGGCCTTGAGGGAAGCCATACGAGGAGCAGCTGAGGTCACTTGGCTTGTTCATCCTGGAGGAGACTGAGGTCAGACCTCATTGCAGTCTACAATTTTCTCATGAGGGGAGGAGGAGGGGCAGGTACTGATCTCCTCTCTGTGGAGACCTGGCCTGAAGTTGTGTCAGGGGAGGTTTAGTTTGGATATTAGAAAAATATTTTTCCCCCAGAGGGTGGTTGGGCACTGTGTCGGAACTCTAAATGTCCCTCAGACATTTTCAGAGGTTCCAGGCCTTGGTCAGAAGCATTTTAGACCCTGGCAAGCAGCTGAAAACAGCTGTGATTTTGAGTTTGAGCCATGGAATGAGTTACCAACTTTGAAGGTGGAACAAGCGGTCACAGAGGGTTAGATGGTATAGTAAAAGTAGTTACAAATTAGAGGGGAAAATTTTTTTGTATTGTACAGGGGGGTTTTAACACCTGTACAGGGGGGTTTTACTTTGTACAGGGGGGTCAGGAGTTCTAAGATGGAGGAAAGTGGGCCTGATCCTGTTCTTCCTCCTTCTTCTTCCTTGCCTCCATGTTCTTGGTGATGTTGGCACTCACAGATTGGTTTAGAGTAGAAAAGCACATTGTAACATAGATAGTAGGTATTGGGGAAAATCTGTAAACATATAATACGTAATATATCATATAAAAGATAGCAGCAGCCCTGGGCGGGGAGGGAGACGACGAAGACACCGGACAGTGAGGGTGTCAGGAGTGTGTGTGTCTCTGCCTGGGCTGCTGACCAAAGCAGCCGCCGTGGGCGAAGACAATCTTTTAGATAACTCGCAATAAACTGCCTTGAGACCGAACAACAAGAGGCTGTGGAGTTTTTCTTTGGAAGCACAGGTTGAAGGAGAGACTTTACTACCACACGAGACCCCTGAATCAATCCCGGGGTTCTCACAGCACTGGAATGGACTCCCCAGGGAAGTGGTCACAGCACCAAGCCTGACAGAGTTCAAGAAGTGTTTGGACAATACTTTTGGACACATGGTGTGACTCTTGGGGATGATGCTGTGCAAGGCCAGGAGGTGGACTCGATGATCCTTGTGGGTCCCATCCAACTCAGCATATTGTGTGACAAGTATTCCTATGAGCCAGCAATGTCCACTTGCAGCCCAGGAACACCCTGTGTCCTGGGCTGCGTCCAAAGCAGCATGGGCAGCAGGGCGAAGGAGGATTCTGCCTCTCTGCTCTGCTTTGGTGAGACCCCACCTGCAGAGCTGCCTCCAGCTCTGGGTCCCCAGCACAGGAAAGACATCAGTCTTGGAGCAAGTACAGAGGAGGCCACCAAGATGATTAGAGGGATGGAGCATCTCTGCTATGAGGAAAGGCTGAGTTGGGATTGTTCACCCTGAAAAAGAGAAGGCTTTGGGGTGACCTATTTGTGGGTTTTCAGTACCTGAAGGGAGCCTACAAGAAAGATGAGGAGAGACTATTTACAAGGGCCTGGAGTGACAGGACAAGGGAGAATGGCTTCAAACTGAGAGTAGGTTTAGAGTAATGTGTTGGTTTGACAGAGCCTGATTTTTTTTTTTTTTTTTTGGGGGCGGGGGGGGAAGCCACAGAGGTGGCTTCTGTGAGAAGCTGCCAGAAACTTCCACTGTGTCCGACAGAACCAATCTCCAATGGCTCTGAAGATGGACATGCTGCTGGCCCAATTAGAGAAGTTGGTATCACCTCTGTGATGACATATTTAAGAAGGAAATCAAAACTGCATGCAGCTTTTTTTTCCCCTAGGGGTGGCAAGGTGCTGCCACTGGGACCATCCTGGTGCCAGGTGCGGCCACGTGGCTGAAACAGCCACGTGGCTGCCACCATCTCGGCATGGCCCGCAGTGAACATTGCCTGCCTGGCTGCCCCTAGCCAGCTGTGCCATGAACAGAAGGGCAGGGGCAGTGGCAGTGGCTTCTCCTTCCTGGCACCCTGCATGAAAAGAAGTGTTGAATGGCACTGGTGGCATGGTGGCTGGCACTGCCTGCACAGTCACAGCGGGGATCACATGGCTAGCAGCGGAAACAGAGTGACCAATTCCCTGACGCTGAACCTAGACAAAATCAACTTCTCAGCGCTGAGAGACCCTGCAGAAATCATTGAACTGATAAAAGTTGTTGGCAGTAGTACTTCCGAGCACTAGTTTTTTCCTCCTAGTTGGAGAAAAGAGGAGGAAGTGAGGACATGTGGAGAACACCAACATGGTGACACCAAGGTCAATGAAAAGAAAGAGTGGGAGGAGGTGGTCCAAACATCAGAGCTGAGAGCCTTTTGCAAGCCATGGTGAAGACTATAATAAAACAAACTGTCTCCCTGTAATCCATGAAGTTCAGGGGGGATGCAGAGATCCACTCACAGCCTGTGGGAAAAGGTACTGATGCTAGAACAGGTGGATGCTAAAAAAGCTGTAATCCAGTGACAGATCTGAACAGAGAGAGAGGGCCTTTGCTTCCAGAGGTAGAGAAAAGGGGCCCTTGTTTCCAAACTAGAGCAGCTCATCCTTAAAAGGCTACACCCCATGGACTAAATGACCCACACCATGCAGTTTTGGGAAGACAACTTTTGCCCATGGGAGGGACTCACATTACAGCAGGTCGGGCGGGACTGCTGCTCATGAAATTAAAACCATGCTAGAGGAATTCACAGAAAACTCTCCCGTGGGAAGGACCTCACAGCATAACAGAAAAAAGGACTCCTTTCCCTAAGCAAACTGAAGATTTTCTCTGGGCGGTGCCATGTGTGACATGGAAACACAAGAAGGTACAAATGTGTTTCCTTGGGGGTCTGTGGTACAAGAGAGATTCCTCTCTCCCTTAATAAACTAAGAATTGATTTTATGAAGGGTGGTAACTTGATTAAAGGTCCAAGTTTTGTCTCACCATGTTTTGTTAGAAATTAGGTGGAGGGAGGAGGAATGCTTTAGAAAGTTTTCATCCTAGATTCTGCGTGTGTCTTTTATTATAGTAGTAGGTTAATAAAGTTTTTTTCTTTATTTCTAAGCTTAAACCTGCTCTACTCTGTTCCTAATCGCATCTCACAGCACTCATCTAGGGAAGGTGTATTTTCATAGGGGCACTGGCACTGTGCCAGTGTCAAATCATGACACTGAAGAAAGATTTTGAGTGAAGAACTGACCAAAACCCCCATGCCCTGTCTCCCTGCACTCTCAGTGGGAAGGAGGGAGGGGCTGGGGGGAAAAAAGGTTCTTTAAGGGCTTATCTTATTTCTCATTACCCTCCTCTGACTCTGTTAATAGTACATTTACTTAATAACTTCAAGTTTGAGCCTGTTTTGCCCTTAAAGTGTTTTCTCCTAATCTTTATCTCAAGTCATGAACCCTTCATTACGATTTTCATGAGTACCTGATATTTTAACCAGTATCAAATCATGACAATTAGATATTAGGAAGAAATTCTTCCCTATGAGGGTGATGAGGCACTGGAACCGGTTGCCCAGAGAAGCTGTGGCTGCCCCATCCCTGGAAGTGTTCAAGGCCAGGTTGGACAGGGCTCTGAGCAACCTGGTCTAGTTGTCCCTGCCCCGGCAGGGGGACTGGAACTAGATGATCTTTAAGGTCCCTTCCAACCCAGGCCATTCTATGACTCTACGATAGTGCTGCCTGGGCAGAAAATCTGGTTATGAAAGTACGCCACGTCGATGTTCATGTACTTAAGAGTCAGGCCACTGAAGAAGAACATCGGAACAACCAGCAGGTGGATCAGGGTGCTGGGTTTGAAGTGGCTCAGGTCAATTTGGATTGGCAACATAAGGGGAAGAGATGCAACTTTTAGTTGGAGGAGTCAACTTGCCCATGGACACTATCACGCAGGTTATCCATGAATGTGAAACATGCGCTGCAATCAAGCAGGGCCAAGTGGTTAAAGCCTCTGTGATATAGAGGACAACGGCTGAAATATAAGTATGGAGAGGCCTGACTATATCACATTCCCCCAAAGCCGTGGTGGCAAGCACCGTGTGTTTACAATGCTAGAAGCAACCACAGGATGGCTGAAAATATACCTTGTGCCCCATGGCACCACCCAGAATACTGTCCTGGGCCTTGAAAAGCAAGTCTTATGGCAAAATGCCACACCAGAAAGAACTGAGTCAGACAACAGGACTAATTTCTGAAACAACCTCATAGACATTTGGGCCAAAGAACATGGCACTAAGTGGGTGCATAACATTCCCTATCATGCACCAGCCTCTGGAAACATTGAAAAATATAATGGACTGTTAAAGATGACACTGAGAACAATGGCTGGTGAGACCTTCAAACATTGGAATACACATTTAACAAAAGGCATCTGGTTAATCAACACCAGAGGATGTGCCAAGCGGGCTGGCCCTGCCCAGTCAAAACTTTTATGTACTGTAGAAGGGGATAGTTCCTGTAGTGCACATTAAAAACATGCTGGGGGAAACAGTCTGGGTTATTCCTGCATGTACATAGTTGTTGGCTGGGGTTAAACCACACCACACCACCTCCTACACTGTTTCCTCTCCCCTGCATTGTATTTTCAGCAGACATCTGGTAAGTTGAAGTCTTCTGAAAGAGCAAAGGGTAATGTATGTGAGACTTCTCCCAACTGCTTATAGAGTGGTAGTGTGCACTTCAGGAGGACCCAGAGTATCTTAAAATGTGTTCAGAGGTATTGCTCTGTATTTCTGAAAAGAAAGTAGCTAACCAAGCTTTTCATATATCTGCATCACAAATAAAGAAAAGTTCCCAGACATTTATTTCTGGAATTGTACACCAGGTATTAAAGTACAACAAATAGAAAATAATGCTAAAAAAAAATAAAAATCAGTGTTTATGTACAAATATTAAAACCAATGCAACAATAGCGACTTCCTCTTGAACATCTGATATTAAAATCGTGTCCCGATTGTCACAAAATTTGTTGTTATGCACAAGGTACTTTGAATAACTGGAATCGGTTTTATTAAGAGGACTATAACCATACCTTCTGTATTTTACAATTGATAGCATTTTCCTTCTTCCAATGAAAAATAGGAATAAAAAAATAGTAACCTTGTCGTTATTTTATAAATTACTGTATTTAGTTTCCCCATCTGTAGACAATGTGCTTGTAGTGCTGGGCAAAGTGTCTCTGTTGGTCAGTTTATACATTAGTTTACATTCAAAGTTGAAATACTTACCTAAAGACTTTGGTTGAATTAAGTACTATCACTATGTTCTACTTGATCTGAAGTTTTCATACATTTTTGATCCTCAGTTTTAAAAGTTAAAAACAGGAAACAATTACACAATTCATTGACCTAATAGTACACAATTTACTACTTTGACCATGGCAAGAGGAAAACTAAACCTTTAAAAACCTAACATGAGAAGATGATATATGAGTAACCAAAGTAAAAGTATTGCTATAATCACAGCACCAAGTTACACTTCTAAATGAACCAGCTATCCCCTTCAGATTCCCTGTATATTAAAAGGATACATTTACCAACACTGCAATTTCCCATTATGGATTTTTGGTTTGTTTGTATGAAAAACAAGTATAGCAGATGACAAAGAATTCATCACAGTTTGTTATAAGAATTGTGCTTCACCATCAAAGAACCAAGGCAATATAATTTCTTCATATGGTTGCAATTCAGTTGTTTTCATGCTGACTTTCAAAAGACAATTCTTTTAATAAACAGTAACAAGTTCTCAATTTTAAATGTTTCAACTGAGAGAAAAATAAAGTCCAGCTTCTAAATGAAAAATTCAATAAATAGCTATTTTACATGGATAAAGTTATCGTGGCACAAATTTATGAATGTCACATCAAGCATGCACAAAAATGTTACTATACACACAAGTAGTCAGAAAATATTGAACTATATATCTAAAAAGATATGAAGAATTAAATATTTACAAAATCTTGCAAATTATTGCCTCATTTTAACAAGGAATTAAAAGTAAACAATAACAGCTAGCTAGCCAACAAGCTAAATAAGACCAGCATTTAAAAATCTATTAGACTAGCTGAAATTAATTTTTCTCCCATAATTTTCTGAATTTTGGTCAAAAGTCTTTATTAAATAACTAAAGTGTCCATTCAACTTGCTGACAACCCAAGCCTTAGACAAGTATCTGTCTACATTAAGAGCCCAGCAATGCATAGATTAATTGAATATATTACTGCATCAGCTAATGAGAATGGGCATGTTCATTTAAATGCAACTGTTATAAGCATTCAATCATCTTTGTATAATGATTTTTATACAGACCAGCCACTCACTGTAAACCCATAGACCTGAATGTATAACAATGAAGGATTATGACCAGTATTTTACAAAATTACATAAAATATGTTGATTCATAAAGAAAAAAACCAAGGTACACAGTTCAGCACAAAACACAGCAGCAAGAAGCTGACAACTTTGCTAAAAATGTCAGAATACAACGCAGGGCCAAGGCTATCCATTATTTATTGTGTACTTACTAGGATTCTATATTTCAGATGCATAAGTTAAGAACTGATTACAAAATTATCTTTACTTGTGTCCACTGTGCTAAACTAATTAGTTTTAATATGATAAATGTGCTATTGTATAAATGCTTTAAAGTAATCTTCATTGCAGTGCTGTAAAGAAAACTCCATACACTGCATCCATAACTCAGGATGTCAATGCAATTCACAGTAAGCATAATAAATACCCTCTTCCCTTTCAAATATTAAAGCCACTACTTTCTAATTACTCAGCATAACCTTGAAGCAACTATTACAAATATCAACAATGCAAGCCTAATCACTTTAATAATCAAAACAAGTTTGTGGCAATTAAATTTGTAGTATGAACAATGCAAAGAAAAAGTATAGAGGGAAAGGGGTAATTCTACTGATGTTCTCCCACAAGAATTAGAGCTAACATTTTAAAGAAAACTTAATGAATGGCTAAATTGCACTCAATGGTCAAAATAAAAATGTATTGAGTTTAAATAGTTGTTTTTATGGGAGACATTTTTACTCATCCTTTTCTATTTGACCAAAAGTGCTATTTTTGAGCTAATGACTTGCTAAACAAAAAAATGCAATCCACACCGAAGAAAAACTTTCAAATACATACTTCAAGGTTCTACTACTTCTATATAAACTAGATAGCCCCTCAAAACTGTAACACATTGAACTGCAGTGCTCCAAACAATTTCTCTTCCAAAATGTAGACTGTTTAGTAGCAAATCTTAAGGTGTGCATACTGTAGCTTTATACAGCAGCTGTCTTAGGAAAGTTAAGTTACACAGGTGCATTAATCTTCAAAGTTGTGGACAAAACTCATCTGAATACAATAGCCTAAAATATATCTGTTTTAAGCCAGAAAGTTTAAAGTACACAGATACCTCCGGAAGCATAATTACTTCTGTGTAAGGTAGCCATGGCCTATAATTTTGCAACAGCCTCCAAGTGTAGGTCTTCATAATTTATTCATGTTATGTCCCTTGTGCTAGCTTCCACCAAGATGAAATTGCTGTTTTTTTTAAACTGAAGTGCTCTAGTTTAGTATCACGAGAGAAGGTTCCATTTAAAAAACATCCTTGTATGTTTGTGCAGTTTAAGTTAAAGAAATCCATCCCTGCCCTTATAAGAAAAAAAAAAAAATTAAAATAAAATGCTACATTGAGCAGGGATCAGGAACAGTACCTGTAAACACTGTTATTACACTGCATCCATTATGGCAAAAGTAACTTTGCCTAAAAAGCCATTCCAATCAGTTCAGAACTTCTGTGCTGGTTTTGAAATGTTGGCCTCTCTCTACAGGATTTAAAATAAATTTGAAGCAGAGCCTAAAGCTGCACCACAGAGTTCTCTTAGTTCCAAACTCTGCCAAACATTTCCACATTTATGGACTGAAAAAAGAAATTACTCTTGGTAAATCAAGATATAGTTCTATACATAAAAAGACATCACTGATGTCAAAGTTCAAACTTCCAGTGAAAGACTAAGCAAACCTGATAGTTCCCATCAAGTTTACTACTACTGCATAAAGTACCCACTCTTTGTTTAGTTTTCCACAGTCATTCTGAATGAAGGGCAGTATGTTGGTGAAGAGTATGGGTATTTATAAAACCATTTGTCTCATTTGCAGATAGACTGCTGAAGTCAGCCACTGAAACAGCCATTTTGGCACTGGCAATATGGTGTGTGTGGTTCTCAAAGTCCACACCAAGGTTATTTACAGAGACATCATTCATGAAAGATTCTGGGACAGCAATCCCCATTTTCAGTCTCTTTGCAGGTCTTTCTGTCTCCTCACTGCACATGTTCCCTGGGTTTAACTCTGAGTGATAAAAGCCAGTCTCAAATAAATTAAAACAATCACTTTCACCATTGCTAGGCAAGTTAAGCAATTCTTCTGTTCCAACAGGCACATGATTAACTACTGGTGCTCGGGGTAAGCTGTCCATAGGAGGGAAGGCATCATCCAGGCAGTTCACAGCTGAAGTGTGACAGACTGTAGCTACAGTGTTTGTCAGTGCTGGAAAACAGATGAACATAAAATGAGAATGAAATAGTTGTTTATATAGTTACAACAAAAAGGTTGTGAGTTTTCTTTTTTTTAACTTGATTTACCTGTCAACTCATTGGCAGTGATAGAGTTCAGAATGCTTATCTGTTGATCAGGAACGCTTTCTGTTCGAGTATTTGATGTTAAGGCTGAAGAATGTACTGCTCCACCAAGAGCTTCTGCTTCATCTACCAAACGATCCATGTAGTCCCTTTAAGAATATGGCATTCATAATAGGTTATTTAACAGGAAAACAAGGCCTAAAAATGATGATGGATTTATTCTCAGTTGCCATAGCCACTGCAGCTTTACACTGCAATGATGGGAAGAAGAACTTATCTTTTACATTTACAATTTGCAACAGAAAACATATTCCAAGGACATTTTACTTACGTAACTCCAGGATGATGGTTATATCTCTTCTTTCCAAATCTTGTTTGCTGAGCAAAGTAATCATAACGTTCTGACTTTTTCCACATGTAATAGAAAGCCACACACTCAGCAACTGTTCTGGTTCTTACCTACAAGAAGGCAAGAAGAACTGACAAGATAAATGCAAAGCATTATGTTTTGTCATCTTCCCAGTCCCCATATTCCTGCAATATTGTTCCTTTTACTGTTCTAGTATCTGTAACAAACAAATTAAATCAGAGGATCTGAAAAAGAGATCTACAGTTTTAAATTTCTTTACCGAGAGGGTGGTCAAACACTGGAATGGACTTCCTAGAGAGGTGGTCGATGCCTCATCCTGTCATTGTTTAAGAGGCATTTGGACAATGCCCTTAGAAACATGCTGGAACTTTTGGCAAGCCATGAAGTGGTCAAGCAGTTGGACTAGATGATCGTTGTAGGTCACATCCAACTGAAACTGTATATTCTATTCTAAATAATTACTACATCTGTTCTATTGTATGCATTACTGTTGTTTAGGCTTGTTTTTTTAAACTACACGAAACTGTATCTACATCTGAAGCATTTCAATTCATAACTTACATAGCAATTTTATAACTATGGGACAGACTCTGTTAAGAAGTAAAAAACTGAGCAACTGAATGACCCAAGAAAAGTGAAGCAGAAAAGACATTGGGTACTTGGAAAATTTTGGTCCATAGTGACAGACCAACTCATATGCTTTGTTGCACTTTGGAAAAAAATAATTTAAAATTATTTATTTGTATTGCTAGTGAATTACTGTTTACGGATAAGGTCCATTTAAAAATTGAACCACCCAGATATTTAGCATTGGACAGGTTAAGCCAAGTGTTGAAAAGGATTAACTGACTGTTGTTGAACAGCAACCACAACCCTATAAAGTTTACCTGAAATACAACAAAAGCACCAGTTTCCTAAAGAAGACTTGTTGTGGTTTAACCCCCACCAGCAACTAAGCACCGCAGAGCTGCTTGCTCACTTCCCCCCTCCAGTGGGATTGGGGAGGAAGAACTAGAAGGGCAAAAGTGAGAAAACTCATGGTTTGAGATAAAGACAGTTTACTAATTAAAAAAAAAAAAAAATCTAAAAAAGAGGAAAATAAAAACCAAGAAAAACAAGCAATATATAAAAACCCAACTGTTCACCATCAACCAATTGATGCCCAGACAGTTCTCAAGCCACAGCAGCCCCCACCCACCAACCTTCACCCCCCAGTTTTATTACTGAGCAGGATGCCATATGGTCTGGAACACCCCTGTTATTTGGGGTCAGCTGTCCCAGCTGTGTCCCCTCCCAGCTCCTTGTGCACCCCCAGCCACCTCACTGGCAGGATAGTCTGAGGAGAAAAGGCTGAGACTACATAAGCTCTGCTCAGCAATAACTAAAACATTAGTGTCTTATCAACAGTTTCCAGCACAAGTCCAAAGCATAGCCCATACTAGCTACTATAAAGAAAATTAACTCTATCACAGTCACAGCCAGTACGAATCCTCAAGGTGGTATCAAAACATAGAGGACATGTACAGAAAATTTGGAAACACATACTGGCAACTGTACCAAATGATACATTTACTTAATAAAAAAAAAAGTCCAATTCCTAATCTTCAGGCACAGAGGAGTTAATCAGAAGCAATTCAGATAAAGATTAGAACTCCTTTGTTGGTCAGAAACCAGAATACTGATGGATGACTACACTTTCTGAAAAAACAAAGCCAATTTCTGTAGAATTACACCTTCTGAGTGACAAAAATAATTAAAGACCTATTTCCCCCTCTCACAGACATGGTATGAAAATAATACACCTCTAGGAGAGGCAGACATTTAATCTAAATTTTAACATAAATGTATATATGTAAGCAATATCAACATGAGTTGATTTCAAAGATAATATATTGACTCGTGTTGCAACACCTAGCTTTTCCAATGGCATCAGAGGCAAAATTAGCATGGAAACACCAATCTGGTTTTAATATGCTGGCTCTTATTTCACTCTTTTGCATAGCTTCTGAAAAAGCATTGCTTTTGCAAACATTCAGCATCATATCATCTACCAATTCTTTCATTTAACTGTAAAATACTAACCTTGTTTTTCTGTATGAGATGAAAATCTTTCCCGTAAATCAGAAGTGCGTGTTCAAAGCTTCTGCATTCTTCTTCTGTCCATGCTGTCATCTCTTCTAGACAATTGCAAAAGCATCATGATAAACTTATTTTCACTGACTAATCTTTGTGTTGCTAATGCCTGAACATCCAAACACAGTCTAAAAAAAATGCAACAGTTCAGTTATTTTGACCCATGTTCTTTCCTGTAATGTAAAGATATCCTACCTGAAATCTAGTATTCCTGCTTATAAAGACTCATAAAAGAGTCTGGTTACTGAAGTATTTCACCCCGGAGGGAAAAGGACATTCAAAATACTTCATTTATTATTTCTTAAGAAGTTTGTCATAAAAAAAAATCCCAAGATTTGTTAACATCATTATTTTTCTGAATATTCCTTCTTTAATCAGATACAAACAGTGACTGTTGGAACAAAAGAGTGAAGGAACAACCTCTGACTTTTTAAAGACAAGTGAATTTTAGTTTTACAAATTAAACAAAAAAAAAAAACCCTAAAAAGGAATAAAAGCTTTAAAACAAAGTAGCTCAAACTATTTGAGTAGGTCAGTTTTGTCTCAAGTATTGTTGCTTCCCTATCTTGATTATGGCTTTGTGTCTATATATAATAAAGGAGGGATATTTGAGGCATCTTACATTCATAGTAGTGATCTGTTCAGTTGTCATTTAAAGCCAATGAGGGTGGATGACAAAAACCAACAAATAATCACATTTCAAAGCATTTCTGGAAGCAGACACTGGAACAAAGACCTTGCTGCTTTCAGACGAAGGTGATAATCATTCCACTACAAGTCCATTAATTTTGCACTCCTTACTACAGAATTCTCAAGCTTCAAAGAGGAGATCCACATGTAAAGTCTTACTGTTATGAAATTATCTTGGGAGATGTAGATTTTTAATGCATATTAAGAATAGCAGTGAACTTCAGTGGGTATAGATCACCGCACAATGATTATTCTAAGAGACGGGCATCAACAGTATTATCATCCTCTACCATTTTTAATGAGGATAGAAACTCCATCTGACTTGGGGTCTGGGAGAGGATGAGCACTAGTCCTTAAGACAGAATTTGGGTCTCTAACACACAATCTCTCATAAAAGAGTTTTCTGAAACACTACTCTGATATTCCTTATTGTTCCCTTCACTGTTATCTTACATACTTAAGCTTTCAGAGCACCTAACTCTGAAACATTCAATTTCCCCTTGGATCCAGTTCTGAGTAAGGAATATCTACCAGAATACAAACTTATACCAGGCCTCATAGGCCATTTGTGCTTTATGGAACATGTGTCAAACTACAGGACAAAGAACTCTTTGCTAAATGATACACTGATTTTTATTTAAGGGAATAATAAAGTTAAGGACAAACAAACTTGTTTTCCACTGTAAACTCAAGCAAAACTCTCCACACTCTACCACAGACCTAGAGAATTATACAGTAGAACCAAGTTTGGGGTTGACATAGCACAATGTTAGCACAGTGATGAAGAGTGGGGCTCACTCATTATCAGCTATGTTCTGATTCTCGTATAAATGTCAGTAGCTTATAATTGATCATTATCTCAAAAAGGTACTGTAATGTGGGGGTGAACTGTCTTATGGGAGCAAAATTACAACTCCCCCCTTCTCCTCAGTCTGTATCATTCTTAAAATAGAAAAAAAACGGGAAAAAAAGAAGGAAAGAAAACATGTAAAATTTGATCCTGCAATCTTTATACAAATTGCAAACTTCTCTAGCAGAAATCTCCATCTGGCTAACAGTCAGATTATACATATTCTGAGTTATATACCTAATGGGAATTATTGAAAAACATCTGAAGGACAACAGTCATCGATCACAGCCATCATGGCCAGCATAGCTTCATGAAGGAAAAGTCCTGTTTATCAAACCTGATTTCCTTTTATGACAAGGTTACCCACCTAGCTGATCGAAGGAAGCCAGTTGATGTCATCTTTTTGGATTCAGTAAAGCTTTTGATACTGTTTTTCCCAGGATCCTTCTGGACAAAATGTCCGGCCCACAGCTGGATAAACACGTCATGCAATGGGTGAGCAACTGGCTCATGGGTTGGGCGCAAAGGGTTATAGTGAATGGGGTGACATCAGACTGGCCACCTGCCACTAGTGGGGTTCCACAGGGCTCCATCTTAGGCCCTGTGCTCTTCAACACCTTCATTAATGACTTGGACACAGAACTGGAAAGGATGCTAAGTAAGTTTGCAGATGATACAAAACTGTGAAGAGCTGCTGACTCCCTTGAGGGCAGAGAGGCCTTGCAGAGAGACCTTGACCAATTAGAGGACTGGGCAATCACCAACCGTATCAAGTTCAACAAGGGTAAATCCTGGAATATGCACCTGGGATGGGGCAACCCTGAATGTATGGACAGACTGGGGAATGAGATGCTGGAAAGCAGTGTTGTGGAAAGGGACCAGCAGGTCCTGGCCAATGGCAAGTTGAATATGAGTCAGCAGTGCCCTGGCAGCCAGGAGGACCAACTGTGTCCTGGAGTGCATCAGACACAGCATTGCCAGCCAGTCAAAGGGAGGTGATTGTCCCAATCTGCTCTGCACTGGGGTGGCCTCGCCTCAAGTCCTGGGGGCAGTTTTGGACACCACAATATAAGAAAGATATAAAGCTATTAGTGTCCAAAAGAGGGCAACAAAGATGGTGAAGGGCCTTGAGGGAAGCCGTACGAGGTGCAGCTGAGGTACTTGGCTTGTTCAGCCTGGAGGAGACTGAGGTCAGACCTCATTGCAGTCTACAACTTCTTTGTGAGGGGAAGAGGAGGGGGAGGTACTGATCTCTTTTCTGGTGACCAGTGACAGGACCCAAGGGAATGGTCCAAAGTTGTATCAGGGGAGGTTTGGGCTGGATATTAGGAAAAGGTTCTTCACCCAGAGGGTGGTCGGGCCCTGGAACAGGCTCCCCAGGGAATGCTCATGGCCCCAAGACTGCCAGAATTTAAGGAGCATTTGGCTGGATTTTTGGGGTGTCCTGTGCAGGGCCAGGAGTTGGACTTTGATGATCCTTGTGATTCTCTTCCAATTCAGCATATTCTATGATTCTATGAGTAATCTGTGCTAAAGACATCATGGAAAGGGATGTGCTTATTAATCTGAATCTTACTCATGTGTAAGACATATTTCTTAAAAAGCAGATACTCTCTCTTACCCTGAGATGCCTTTCCATTTGAGCAGTATCTCTCAATTGCTTCTTTAACATTATGGCTACTTTTGAGAAGTTCATATAGTGCCTATAAAATAGAAGTAGTCTTTAGAAAGTGTTAAAGTTTCCAAATATCCTATATAAATTTCTGAAACAAGCCTTTCAGTGAACATACCTAATGTAAAAAGAGGTTATATCTTTATATAGGATGAAAATGTTAAAATAATCAAAAGCAAAACCATCCAAATGTTAAGGCAAGGTTTAATTAAGCAAATGTAAAACATTATATGCAATAATTAGAAAAACTAGATTTGTCAACATCATGCCAATTTGAAACATCATAGACCACACTGCAAACATTCAAATACTCAATTTTAAGCAAGTGTTTAAAATTACAAATAAGATCCTGACCCCTATAACATCTAATTAAAAAAAAATATTGCTGCCTTTATATACAAGGCAGAGAAAGAGAACACATTAATTACAAAGCAATGTGCCACAAATGGAACAGGATATAAAATATACTTGTTCATTGTCACGTGTATGTAGTCCTTCAGGAATTCTGTCAATCATATTTTCATTTCCTGCTCTTAAGGACGTTTCAAAAAGGTATTCTTTAACTTTACTTTCTGAGATCACATCAGGTTTCCAAAGTAAATGGTCTTCATTTTCATAGGCTGTTAAAACAGAATTTATGGCAACTGTGACACTTTTAAGGCTAGAACATAAAAAGCTATTTCACAAAGAACAGGAATAGAGAAGTAATAAAATCAAGCACTGTCATGCCACTTTCAAATTGCAGCTAATTTTTTCCCCAAAAAGCCTTAGTTTAGAGAGACTGCAGTGTGGTATGTTGAAGAGATTCAGGTTCCATGAGGATAAGGGACTGGCTCTTGAGACAGAATCTCTACAGAGGAGCAGGTTGTTGACAGGTAGATGATTCAAGTCAAATTATGCATATGTATTAATCTTAATATAAAAAAAAATTAGCAAAACCACTCTGTTTTATTCAGATGTTTACAACAAATAAGCTATAATTTACAATAAAAAGTGTACTTTAATATTTCAAATACTGCATATAAAATAAAAAAAAAGAGGTGGCAGCTAACTGGTCATTTTCAACTAAAATTTGCTAAAACTTACTTAGCAGAATGGAAATCTAGGTCTAAATGTGGTAATTTCTTTTAGCATTCACTAACAACTGAATGCTGTTATCAACTATTTTACAAGCAATCAGGATGTATAGTCCTCCTTCATAGTATACTGAAACCATGTATGTACCTCTTAAGTAGCTTATTTGAAATATATTGGAAATATTCAAGAGTTGGCCTGAACTCTTGTCTATGCACACATTTAAACTCTTTATTAAACGAAATCCTTTACTCTGATCAATAGATGTGTGTACACATAATGCTTTATGTACTCTCTTGGCAGTATAAATTAGAGTTATTAAATTCAAACACACCCAAGTATAATGGCAGTTCCACTAGAAGAGATTAAGATTCTCAAATCTCTCATATAACTGCAGGAAAGAATATTAAGCTAAGGTGAAGAATAAAATAGCAACTCCTAAAGATCTGTTATGACTTAAGAACGCTGAAAGCTTTCAGACAGACATGTTACAAGTGTAAGATTTATAGAAGAGCAGAACTGCTTTCTAGCACAATTTCAGTACCTGGGACTTCACAGCAGAAATATAAGCCTCTGTTTGCCATCACAAGCTCTTCAGGAAGTACAAAAGAGGCTTTTACAGAATCTTCAACCCTCTCCAAGCATTGCTGAGCTCAGCTTCAATCTCCATTATCAACCAAGACAACCCAACACTTTTTGCTGGAATCTATACCTGATATTCTCAAGAGGAACTCCTCAGGCTCCCCCATCTGGTAGCTACCTCTTTGCTCCTGGCTATGCCAGTGAACAATACTCTCTCTGGTTCTCTCTTGCACCAGCTTGTTCCAGAGAAAGTTGTCAGATTAATGCCTTCTTGATCATCCTCTGGTTATTGGCCCTTCTCTAGTTCTTGACCAAGGAGAAGTCAAGATGTGTAAATAGTAAAAGGACTATTCAGATAAAACCAGTTTTCACTCTTCTGTTTCTCACATCCAGTAAGCATCATGCTCAAATAATAGAAAATAGAAAACTTCCATAGATCTCCTAAGCAACATAAGAGATGTTAATTTGCTAATGTTTCCAGTCAGTGAAGGTTTCTAAAGGTACCAAATAAAAATCTATTAAATAAAGTTATTTCTTCTACTCTGGCACAATTTCAGTTTTTAACCTACATTTATACAGCAATAACATCATACTTAAAACATATTTTTTTAAAGACAAGGTATATTGAGACCTACATCTTCTACTCATGCTATGGAAAATTCAAATAGTTCATTGCTTTGTTTTTCATAACCATTTTGTAACCCACACTGTCGTGCTTGCTAAAAAAGAAGCAAAGAAACATACTGAAGATCTTCAATGCAAACTTACATGTTCATAGCCCAGTTATGATATCCTGATGAAAATATTTACTTCTTGACCCAGTTTGTTGCCTCCTAATAGTGCTAGATACTTCAGAATTAAGACTGTAACCCATTCTCCTATGTCTTCTTGAAAATATCCTCTAAAAGTTGTAGAATCACACTTTTAAGATATAATTATGTGGTTGTATTACTTCAGTTGACTAGAGGTTTTTTTGGTTGGTTGGTTTGGGTTTTTTAACTAAGTCATTTAATTTATCTCATAAATTTAAATAACATTTTTCCATCAGCTGCTATGTATAAATATAGGAACTAAAATAGAATAACTTACCCTTTTCATTATTACTGTATCTGCCAAGGTAAGGTGGAATTTCAGCCTGATACTGTGAACCAACCTTTATTTCCTGAAGATGTAACAAAAATCATAAGGGTATTAATATTCTGTGCATGGAAGCATTACAAAGTTGATTAACATGGGATTTTGCAGATAATTTCAGAATTAAGGTACTATTTTAGATATGTACTATAAATGTTAATGCATTTTTTAATAGCAAAAGTTTTCTTAACTTTTTTTTTAAGATATAGTTATTACCTTTCTCAAATCTTCAGATGAATTACCATTGTCTGCCTCTATGTCTTCACCATCTGATTCCTTATCTCCATCACACGTAGTGTTTGCTTCAGACACAAATAAGTTGGTTTTAGCTAGGAAGAATTTTCAGTTCAAACACAGAACTACAAGATATTCTTTACTTTTGAAAGGAGCCTTGCTTTTATTCTGGAAGACACTCATCACCAGTCTGTTCATCTACATTTCTATCAAACTAGAATGAAGTCAGAAAGCATTGGTGCTTGCATATTGCAGAACTGAAACATTTACCATTATTGCAACTAAGACAATATTTCAACAGCCAAAAGGAAATTTGATAATTTTTCTTCATTGATTTTCTTCAATAAATGCTTACACCTTATAGAAAAGGTATGAGAAAAACAGAAAACTTCCAGGACTATGACTTCACCATGGGTTAATCCCAAAGAAAGTTGAAGGTAAGTCTTTATTACCTACTGAAGCCTTTCAGCTGAAGTTTTAATTGACATTCAAAACATTCCTTTAAACAAGGCTACCTCAGCAGGGACTAAAGATATAGTAGATATACAGAAAACAGAATAAGCAAAAGATAACAAAAGACTGCTTACTCCTCTTAAATATTTTTTTCCTTAGGAAGAAATACAGCAGAGCACTCCAAGTAATTCAAATACAGTACTCCACGGAATAACTCATATTTTAGAATTTGGAACTCTGTGGTTCCGGGTTCTGAAGAAATTCTATTTTTTTTATTTTATCCCCAGCAGAATGGAATCCATAGTTCTGATAAGAGCTATTTCATATTCTCAATTTGCAGTAATAACATGTTCATAAATAGGGTTTCAATTTTAGCTTCATCACAACTAAATAAATCATCAAAGACAATATCCAAGATGATAGACTGAGGCTCCTCTTCTGTAGTCATTACTAGAATCACCAGTCTCTTTTTGCTGTTAGAAAGAGGCAAGAAGCTATCATGAATGCGTGAAAGAGCACAATGCCTGGATAATAATATGCAATTACTTTTTCCAGTGAATCCAAATTTAACAAAATGGCCTGTGTTAAACATGTTTATCTTAAAATTGAATGTTAACTTAAGAGAAATGGACAGGGATGAGAAAAAAAAAATGGAACTGTCAACAGCACAGAAAACTGACATTTCTCTCCCTGACATGGTGGATAGTTGATGTTAAAATGCCCAATCAAAAGTTCTAGTAGAGAAAGAGCAATATTCTGATAGAAAAAACACAATAGTTGAAAGCAAAGATGACTGTTTCTTAATCCCAAGTAAGATGAAGGGGCTAATAATTCTTTCCATTAAGTTGCCACACTTTCAGTGTCATAGTCATTGACAGTTCACAAGCAATGTTTAAGTGCCAGCAAGATTGGGGTTTGCGTAAAAAGTTATAATGCCCTTTTTTAGTTAAGGTTTTTGTATCTCTCTCAAAAATGCCTTACATTACACAATCAGCAGCATGCAAAGGGGCTACAATTGCTGATGATTGAGACAGCACATGCCCTTTATCATCCCCTTTCTCTAGAGGGATGAAGTCCCCCAGAAAAAGCTCAAAATATTTGCCAAATTAAAATTGTTATAAAAATCCTCCACATTGTCTATTGCAGTTCATTTGTTCACTGGTGTACTAAAGTTGGAGCAATGAGGAATATCTTGCCAAGGTTGGATAATTGAACCAATGGTTCTTGGATCTTTCCCATAATAGTTCCATGGGTAGTGAAATTTTGGTGGTCATGGGTTCATAGGCCCCATCCCATATAAAAACACTCTGGCTCATGAACTCCTATGGAAAACCATTGAATATGTGAAGGGAAATAATAACAAAGAAACCAAATTCCAGTTCACATCCATATGCTGAAAGAGGAGTCACTGGCTTAAAAGTACCAGCAAAAAATTTAGTAGAGAAACACTAATTTAAAAGAACAGGTTACATATTCATGCCATTCACCAATGCCCAGAAAATTACCAAGAGTGTTCCTTGACACACATTAACTATTCATTATGAAAAGCTACTGTATTTTTAGAAAAATTGTGCTTGTGCTTTGAGCATCATATTAAATATAGGCCTTTTAGGTAATCAATAATACCAACCAAAGACAATATTCATGTACAACATCCTGCAAAGCACTGTTTCTCAATTCCACTCTGCAACTCTGATATTTTAAACTAGAAAGCTATATAGTTTATAATAAATGCTAAGACTTTATGAGTACTATTATAAAATTAGGTTTCCTACATCTTAATGGCCGAGGAAAGAAGTCAGTAGCCTCATGTGAAGTAACTGATGGTGTCAAGTCATCAGCAGAGGACTGTGTTTCTTCATCATCACCTGACAAGAGATCTTTAGCTATTTCCTCCTGTATCATTAAAATAAAAAAACCCAAAACTTCAGACAGACTATTAAATATAAACTAGCGAGCATTTAGATTCAGCAAATTGTCTCATTTATTAAAATGAATTATTTTACCATAAGCAATTTTAGCAGACTGTTCACTATTAAAAAGTTAATCCACTCCTAATTCTCAAAACAAATATAACCATTCATTTCAGAGTTGAACATGGAGACGTGGAGGTTTATTTCCCCCTTGTCTTCTATTAAAATAAATGCACAAGTAGTAACCCCTGCAAGCATCAAATCTCAGATGTTCATCCTACTGCTTTAAAATAAAAAAGTGAGTGGAAACATGTTAAATTCTGTCATTCTTTACATCACAGATACCCTTTAAATTCTGGGGGGGAATGGGAGGGGGGGGGGGGGGAAATGGGTGAACAAACAAAACCCAAACCAAAAGCCAGGCACTTTTATATATTTTTCCGGAGAAGAATTACCGATAACTGACAAAATATAATAAAGTGGAGGGGCGGGGGGGGACGGGGGGGGAAGAACATACTTCCTCCACTACCAGACATGATTGAACCCCTCTATAGTGATTAGGGAGGTAAAGAACTGTATTGGACAGGAAGCCAAGTACATTTCTGTAGCCTCAACACAATGGTGACTCCTAATGAGAATCAGATGTGCAGAGCCAGCATTATACTATGCTTTCTGTGGAGTTTATAATTTTATCATACTTATGGAAAGTAAAAAAAAAAAAAAAAAGACATGTACTTACTACCTACAGATTTTATAATACAAACTAGTAGCTGCATGCCTTTTAGGCAACAATCAGATTGATCTCAGAATTCAAAGTTAGCCTGTGAATCATAAAAACTGTAGTTTTGTGTTTCTATATTCAACAATGCAATACATACAGTAATTGCACAGAGAACAATCTCTCTCACTCCCCAAAGATGAGATTTTTATAAATTATATGCATTTGAAAGATACATTCCAAAGCATCCAGTAGTGCACTTTTCAAGTTGTGCACAAAGGTTTCATATATGATATGTATGTTTGAAGCCAGAATTATTATTTCTGGACATTGCATACATTAAAATAAAATACAGAAATTTTCATTAAAAATCCCACTTCTATAAAATAATAATAAAAAAAGGAAATCTATTTAAAGTTCTCTGAATGTTTTAGAAGAACCACTACCTTATTCATTTCTCAATTGTAATAATATAATGCCACTAAAGTTGCCATGCATTTGTGTGATAATTATAATTAAATCCAGATCCTAAATATCTTTGAAAAAGAATTAAAAGTACAATCACAGAATCATTTAGGTTAGAAAAGACCTTTGAGTCCAACCATAAACCTAATGCTGCCAAGTCCTCCACTAGTGCAGTAACTCTTAATTTTATGTTGAAATTGACAAAGATATGTATTTTGTAACATCAAGAGACAGTGAAATATAAGGTCACACCGATTTCTACTTTTAAACCGTAATACAGGGGAAAACAGTTCTGACTTACTTTATCTAGAGTCATATCTGGAAGCTCATCTGCAAGTTCACTTGGAGAGCTATCCACACTGGAACCAGCCATAACTGGAATTGTGGGTTCATAGCCATAAAATGCCAGCAAATCTTCCAAAGGCATGTTTCCTTCCTAATACAAGAAGATTTACAAACATTTCAACATATTGCCAAATACTTGTAAACAGTTCAGGCCTAAAAGGATAAGACATATTTTGAAAAACAAAAGTAAAAAACAAATATGAAACATTTAATTGAAAGCAGGAATCTTGATTAAAGATCTAAAATATTTTCAGGCATGAGACTGAAATAATTCATAACTGTGTCTCTTGGCATATAATGAAGTCCCATTAAACTATTGAAGAAAGCCATTTAGTGGATGAAACTAAAGAGTAAATACTGAAAATTTGCTCCTTATCTGATTCACACTGTAGAACATGATTTGCCTATATTTCTTCAAGACAGAAGATAGACTAGGAACATTAACAATCCCCTTAGAAGAAATGCAGAAAAACCTGAAAACTTTAGTCCTATAGTTACACCTGCAAGTGTGCAAACCACCACAGAAATAAACCAATGTAGCAATCTTTTATCCCTCCTTTCCATCTTCTGCACAATACATTTTATAATTACTGTAGAGAAGGTGTTGTAGTTTAACCCCAAGCAGCAACTAAGTACCACACAGCTACTCACTCACTCCTCCCCAGTGGGATGGAGGTGAGAAATGAAATGGTAAAAGTGAGAAAGAAACTCATGAGTTGAGATAAAGACAGTCTAATAATTAAAAATACTTTTTTTTTTTTTTAATGCAAGGAAAATAGGAGAAAAAAGAACCATAACAAGACAGACGTATATAAAACCCAAGAAAGATAAATAATCCAAATGAAAACAATTGCTCACCACCAACCGATGCCCAGCTAGTCCCTGAGCAGTGGCTTCCCACCACCATTCAGCCACTTGGCTTGTTTGATCATGGCATACATTTAACACTCATGGATAACCTGTGCAGTGGTATCAAGTCAAGTCGACCTCTCAATCATGAGCCCATTTGTATGATGCATCCCTTCCTATATATCCTGATGTGCCATGGGCCCATCAAGCTATAAATAGGTCACCCTTCTGTTCCCAGTCCAGATCCACCTGAGCCACTTCAATCCCAGCAGCCTGATCCACATGCTTATTGTTTCAATGTTCTTCAGTGGCCTGATTCTTGAGTACATGAGCATCTATGTGACATACCTTCACAACCAGGTTCTCTGCCCAAGCAGCAATATCTTGCCACAATGCAGCAGCCCAGATGGGTTTATCTCTGCACTGCCAGTTATCCTGCTTCCATCGTTGCAACCACCCCCACAGGGCATTTGCCACCATCCCTGAGTCAGTGTAGAGATAAAGTATTGGCCATTTTTCTTGTTCAGCAATATTTGTAGCCAGCTGGATGGCTTTCACCTCTGCAAACTGACTCGATTCACCTTCTCCTTCAGCAGTTTCCACAACTCGTCATGTAGGACTCCACATGGCAGCTTTCCAACTTTGATGTTTTCCTACAATATGACAGGATCCATCTGTAAACAGGGCATATTGCTTTTCATTTTCTGGTAGTTTATTATATAGTGGGGACTCTTGAGCCTGAGTCATCTCCTTTGGCAACACTGAAGTTTCGACCAGTTCACAATCACTTTCAGAATTCCTGGGTGGTTGGGGTTTCTTATTCAAACCCTTTGTATGATCACTGCAACCCATTTACTCCATGTAGCATCAGTTGCATGATGTGTAGAGGGGACCCTGCCTTTGAACATTCAGCCCAACACAGGAAATCGAGGTGCCAAAAGGAGCTGTGCTTCAGTACCAACTACTTCTGAAGCTGCTTGAACTCCTTCATATACTGCTAATATTTCTTTTGGAGGCTGCCTCTTCTGATTTGTTCTCCTGCTCCCTGTTAGGAGAAGCTTCTTCATCTCTTACTAAACAAGTTGACTTCTGCTTCCATTGTTTCTGCCTCTTTGGAATAGCCAGGGCATCTTTTTCTTTCCCCCCATATATTCTATCACTTCATCAGGATTCCGCACTTGTTCAGGAGAGAAGTTCCAGACCATTGGAGGTGTAAACCTTTCTAGACACCTGTCCATATTCTCCCACATACATGCCTTGCCATGCATAACCACGCTGCCGCAGGGCCTGGGTCATATTCCTAAATAGCTTGTTAACCTCATAAAAAGCTGAAGTAATATTCCTAAGAAATACAAATAGAAGTATTTAGACTACCCAAGGATGTTCAAGATACTGAAGAGTTATTGTAACAAGGGAGAAAACATGACAAAAAGTGATGGTGAAGGTGCCATTCTGTATAACCTCCACAAAAAAAATCTCTCAGAGGAAGAAGTATAATTGTTAATTGTCTCCATGAGATGGTACATGAAGTACGTTAATCTTCAGTACAGAGCCCAAATACCAGATTAAGCTCAAGGCCAGTGTTTTAATAATAAATCTTGCAGACAAAACATCACTAAGCACTACAGAGCATTAGCAAACTGCAAAATCCAACACCAATCTTGAACACACACAGCAAAAAAAGAGAGCATGGCATAGATCAGACAAGCTAATGTCAAGAACAGATAAATCAATATCATGACCAGCAAATGTTAACAGATGTAAATTCTTCCTAATGTTATGGTCAAATCTGTTAACACAAACCATTTGTGCCCTGTTGTGTCTTAACCCTGGATGGCAACTAAACATCACAGAGCTGCTCCCTCCCTCTCTCCTCCATGGGATGGGGGGAAGAGAATTGGATGAGTGAAAAAAAAACTTGTGTGTTAAAATAAAGACAGTTTATATGTTTAAAAAGACATAATAATTTTTTTAAATTGTAAGGAAAAGAAAAAATAAAAAGAGGGGGGAAGTAAAACCAAAAAAAAACAAGTTATCCAAATGAAAACAATTGCTCATCATGAACTGACCAATGCCCAGCCAGTTCCTGAGCAGTGTGAGAAGCAGAAAAGGCCTTGGTTCTGTGTAAGCTTTGTTCTGCAATAACTACAACATCAGTGTGTTATCAACACTGTTTAAGCACAAATCCAAAGCATAGCCCCATACTAAGTAGTAGGAAGAAAATTAACTCTCCCAGACAAGACCAATACAGAAATAGGAGAAAAACAGATACAGAAGCAAAAATCAAGAGAAAGGCTTCGTTTATAACTTCTTTTTTCCAACAGCTTTTGATCAAACTATTTTACTAAATATCATCATACTTGCATCCTAACACATTTAATAAAACAAACTGTGGAAATTTTCTTTAGTTACCCAAGTTATCAAATAATTAGATATATTTTCCAATAATTTATACCTTTAAAAGTTATATTACCTTAAAAAATTTCTTGTTGAACTTATACACTGATTAAGCTACTTGTTTTCTTTAATCAGCTAAGGTCTTAGTCCTGCAAAGATTTTTCACAATGGGTAAATGCAAATTCGTGTCCAGGTCTTTCCAGGATTGAGACATAAAGTACTAAAGTATAAGACAAGTGGCTCTCAGTTCTTTTTCCTTCTTTTATAGAAGCAATAAGATCATTTTGTGGAGTACCAACTCCATTTTAACCACCAGACTTGGCAAGCTGCTTTGCTATTATAATTGCAAGTTCAAAATTAGCAAAAATATAACTGTAAAAGGTAGCAAGGCAAAAGCAAAACAAACAAAAACCCCAGAAGTTAAGAAAATTTGTTTTTAAATGGACTACAAAAGCACAGTCTCCTACTTAATGCTAAAAATTACACTTTCCTGGAAGTCTGTTGATCAAAATCTGCAGTTATGCTGAGTGGTGTAAGTGGGTCACTGAACGGTAATGCAAGCAGCATCAGTTTGTGGCTATTTAGCATTCAGCAGGCGTTTAAAATGGATGATGCACTGACACAGATGAACAAGAGGTAGAAACAGAAAAAGCATGTAATTAAAGAATGTAAAAAGGAATAGGAAAAGCCAAGGAGCACTCTGGTCATTTTGTACATCCAGCAAATGCCAAACTGATGAAACTGAGATATAGAACTACAATTTATGTAGCAAATGAATGTGAAAAATGTGTAAAACAGGACTGCTCTTCCAGACTGGAAAACCAAAATCTGACCAACAGAATGAAACACAGCTAGCTGTCACTTAATGTACAATTTAAACTTACTTCCAACGTATAAAACTTAGAAGTGACTAGTGATATTAGATAATAAGACTTTAAAATCTGCTTCAGTAATTTCTTTTCCAAAGTGAAAAAGTAATTAAATGAAAAATACCAATCTGAACTTAACACTAATAACTTTGAGAAGCTAAGGTCAGCCTTTTTGTGAGGAAGCACTATGTCCTAACCAAACCCGATATTTTTTCTTTAAAAAAAAAACCTCCAAAGGCATTTTGCAGAAAATTGCATTATGCAATACAAATTAAAGAACAGGTTGAGTGTTGTCTTCACTAAAAAGCTACAATATATATGGACATTAAGGAGAGAGCAAGTCACTCTTACCTTTTCTAAATCTTCAATTTCAGAGCTGAAATTTTTCTTTTCTTCCATCATTTCCTCCTCTTCATCAAGAGTTCGTTCATCATCATAATCATGTACCAGCATTTCAGCAGAAGGGTCAAAGTCATGATCCTCAGAGGATAAAGAGCCAACTACAAAAAAATCCTAATTTGAGTAATTTTTTTTCTATACCAACATATGAAATTACAACACAGAAAAAAATAAGGTTGCATGAGTCTTTACATACATAGTTAGAACTCTCAATGGAATAAATGGAACAAATTCTTAACTACCTGACAAATTCAACTATTTTAGCTGGCCTTCCCTTTTTGTATTTTAATAGGTGCAGTTTCCTCTCCTGCAGTATAGAGTACTTGGGAAAAGTATCTAAACTACTGAAACAAACTTTCAGAAAGTACAATAACAAATTAATATTTTACTGAATAAAAGATTGTTTTAAAGATCCTGGAAATCATCATTAAAGTATAACATCCACATGTCACAAGATTTCAGATGCTGCAAGACACTGATTTATAGACTCAGATTCTATTTATATTATTTTTATGGCAACTAACATAGCTTTTCCCTGATTAACAGCTAACTTAGGTTGCAAACCAGTTTCCTAACAACAGCAAAATAAGCAGCAAGACTCACTTCAGATTAGTCTCACAGATGAGATTTTTTAATAAAACTAATTTAATTCTTAGTATTTGATCTAAAAAAGAACAAACGTAGCAGTTTCAAGAAATATAGAGGGAAATATACCAGAAATAACAAAACATTTCTAATGGATCACAGTAATTAACAAGTCATTATGACAGCTCTGTGGTCCAACAGACACTTTTTCATTACCCAAGAGGATACTCATAGGTAATAAAAAAATACTGTTGCTATTTTGAGTGCATCTGTTAGAAAGCACTATATTCAACAAGTTTTTAAGATGCAAATATTCTGTACAGCATTGTCAGTATTCTACAATGAAAATTACTGAAATGCAGGGTTGTTTTGTTTTTCAGTGTTCACTTTCTTAAGACTTTCATGATGGAGAAAAAAACCAGTCTAGGATATTTCTCTTTCACCTCAGGTTTCCCCTTCTAGTTCTTACATACTAGAGCTCAGCCAGTGCCAAGAGCAGGTATACAGAAGCAAATGCATTTCCCCAAATATTTTTCAGGAGTAGCCCTGCTGATGTTAAATAGGCTTCCTTGTGTAAATATTCCAAAGAACCTTAACAGTAGTTAAAACCTTAACAATTACATATAATTATGACTTAAAATGTTTTCTGATATTATCAATAAATCAAAAATTTACACAACCCTGCAGTTAGCAGCAGCAACAGAAGTGATCTCTCTCTCCAGGCTACATGGCTTTACTGAGATGCTGTCTTAAAAATACTACAAAACTCTATTTTCATTTTGGGTTCTGAGCAGCCAATTACTAACTGTGACCAGAGGTAAGTGAAGAACTCTCCAGAGCACACCTTCTCTTTAAAATCAGGCAGGCAGTTAGTTACATGAACATGAAGTATTAGGAGAGCTATGAGGCAACAGAAGGTAATTTCGGGAAGGAGGAGGAAGGATAGAGCAGCGTGCAGGCAGCAGGCTAGGTACTGGGGCAGAAGGCGGGCAAAGACGAACCTGGGCTCGAACTCCCAAAGGAAGCCTGCAGGAAGAGAAAAGAGTGAGGTGAGACACGGGCTCCATCCAACCCAGCAGCAGGTAGGGAGTCTCCATTTCATGCCCCCTCCCATCCCCTCCCCCCCGGACCTGCTCCTTTCCCCCGCCAGCCCCCGCCCTACTCGCCCCTCCATCGTGTTCACCCTCTCCTATCCCTCCTTCTCTCGCTCGTTCCCTACCTATCGCTCTCCTTTTTTCCTCCTCCCCTAGCAAAAGCCCTCTAAGGAGCCTCGCCTGACCCGGCACTCCCACTCCTTCCGACCCAGGCGGAACATGACAGTGGCAGGCAGAGAGAGGCGGACCAGCAGCCTCTTCCTCGCTTCCAGGCCAGGGCTCGCTTCTCCTCCCTCCCGCCGAGCGTTTCTGCACCGTCCGCGCTGCGGTGACGCCGCCACTGGCCCATCCCGCGCCCTCCGTGGCTCGGTGCGGCGACCGCGCGCCTGATCACGGCTTGTCGGCCGCCCGCGGGCGGCGAACTCGGGACCCGCGCTGCGCGGCACCCGCCGTGCGGCCTAGTCGCGCAGGCTCCCAGTGCCCAGGCGTTGCAGATCGCCTCGCTGGCCACCCCGCGTCGCCGAGCCATCCCAGAAGCGCCTTAAGGGGATGGTGAGGCGGGTGAAGAAGGCCCGCCAGCAGCAGGACCCCACAGGGAACCAGACGAATTCCGACACCCCAGCCCACTTTCCCCGCTCACCTCCGCCATATTGGGACGATTGAGCTGAGCAATAGCGTTGCGCCGAGTGTCCGGATGAGGCCGCTAAGCCAATGGCAGCCGCCGAGTTCTAGCCGGAGATAGCCAGGGAGCGAAGAAACGGAGAGATCGGCAGGACTTAACTGGGCGGAGGAGGTAGTGTCGGGACCCCGCCTCCAGCAGCGCCGCGGCCTCCCGCCCTGGCTAGCGAAGGCGCTCTGCCTGCCCGGCCTGGAGAGGGCGCTGGACGCCCGCCGCGGAGCTTAGGCTTGAGGGGCGCGGCCCCAGCTGCTGGCCTCGCCTCGCCTCGCCCCCCGCCCGCCCGATGAAGCCTTGGCCAGCAGAAGCTGCCCGTCATGGGGCGAGGTGAGCGGGAGTCGCTGGGGCCTTAAGGCCGGCTGGAGACGAGGTAACTCGGACGTCCCCTGGTTTGGGCGTCATGCCGCGCCTGTCTGAATCAGCTTGTCTGCGACTGCTGCGACCTGCAGTTCTGTTCCGGGGCCGGGAATACTGTGAGGAAACATTACTCTGCGGCTCATTAATACCTGGGTTTGTGACCTACTCTTCTTTCCGTATTGAGCCCCTTCCTAAGGGCTGGTGTGGAGTAGTTATGCTAACACCTTGCACCCTAAGTGTCTGAAGCAGAAAACAAAATGTCAAAACCTACAAACCTTGCTGTTGTTGATTGCTTGCTGTGGGTTAAACAGAGAACGTGACATTTATTTTGCAGTGGATATTGTATCTAAAAGTTGAGGTGTTTTATGTACAATGTAATAGCTATTCCATTTTTAGTGTTTATTTTTTGTCCTAGTACACAGGAAGTGGGGATTTGGCCATTTTCAACTTGATCCCAGGCTATAAAGATTCATGCTTTTGACTTTAGAATTACATGTTTCTGCCTTTGGCCAAAATAGCATCTACCATACTTGCTATATAGAATATTGATCTACTGGAGGAATGGTGTGCATCACAGTGACACTCAGTTGCAATAGTGCGCCAGATTGTGTCCCATCTTGAGAATTTGGGAGGCTAAAGGCTGTATCCTGAAGTGACCAGTTTCTAAACTGGGTTTGCAGACAGTGCAGAAATTCCAAGCTAGTTTAGGTACTTAATTAATGAAGCGCCATATGATTTAATTTATTCTCTTGTTGCTCTGAGAAACAGAGTAAATTAAGTAGTGTCACATGCTGCACTGCTGGGTCTAGTCTACTTCCAACTGTCCAAATAACACAGCAGCCTAAGATGTAGACATACCTGCTCTTTGATATACCTAGGGGTAAAATGTTTGCAACCATAAAAATCTCAAGACTTTGCAGAAACATATTTTTTAGTAAAGTTCTCACAATCACAAGCAGCTCCAGCAGTACCTTGTTCTCTGATCTCTGATCTGTCTGCCTTTTTCCCAAGTTGTATACACAGATTAGAGTTACCAGGTAAAAATTATCAGCGGCAGACAGGCTATGTCAGAGCGCATTGCATGTGCTCGAAAATTAAGGAAGATGTAATACTTTCCACCTTTGATCTGGAATACCATTACAACCCACTAATGTTCCTCAGCACTTTTCAGTTTTGTTCCCTCCAGATAGAGCAAATCCAGTTCCTATCCCTGTTCCCTTGAAGCCTCAGCTCTGACAAGACAAAATAGCTTTCTATGAACACAGAATGTGTAATATATGCACAGACCTGTTCATGTAATTGACATAATAGCACATAAAGTCAAGCAGGAAGAATCCCCAATTCAAGGAAGTACCTATTTGCTACTATATGCATTTTCTCAATAGGAATTCTCCCTGATTTGTATGCAATTAGCTATTTCCTAACTTATGGAGTAATTTACTTCACAGTCTTTCAACTATTTAATGTGATTAAGTCTTTCAGTTCTGTGCAATTTTACAGTGAAATCTTTTGCTGGTAATTTAACACTTTAAAATTTCTATCAGATTTAGATCAAAGGAAAGCTTTTTGTTTATAATTCAGACCACTTTGACAAATTAATATGAACTCATAGCTCTACCACAGCAGGTCATTAGGTGTGTTACAGGGCTGTTGTATAAGTTGCATCAAGAATTCTGAAAAAACTACAGTGCTCAGAGTTGTAATTGTCAGGAAAATTAATCCACAAACACCAGAGGTTTATGTCCAAAAAGGAGACAGAGGAGTCCTGTAACCTTATTCTAATAAAAGGAGAGGTCATGGGGCAATTCCCATGGGGTCTCTCAAATTGTTAGAGGACTCATCCTTCTTTTTATCTTATCTTTCCGGCTGCATTTCCCTCTCTCTTTCCCCATTGGCTGAGGTACTTGAGAGATACAGACTTTTCTACTCTCCTCATTTGAACCCCCTTTCTAATGTGCATGTGTTAATAGCTGCAGAGGCAAATTCTTCTTCCTGTGAGCTATAATTAGTTAAATAAAAAAAAAAAGACCAGGCCAATTTTAACACGAGATGTATCACATCTCTTGCTTTTTACTTTTTGGGCAACATTTAACTGTTTTAGTCTTACAGACCCATTCTTCAGAACAAAAGCCTCCTCTTCTTAACAACAAAAAACAAAACAGAAAGAAAAAAGAAATCTTGCTTAAAAAAATGAACTACTTTGTGAGGTTTTGGAAAGTCAGCTATCTCTGCCTTGATCTTATCTCTAGTGGTGGTCCCTCTCTTCCTCTTTTACACAGCCTTGCGTTTAACTGTCTTTCGCCCTTCCCCCGCTGCCGCCACTTTACCTAGCGGGAGTAGCGGGAGGGGGAAGAGAAGCTAGGGACTTCTTATAATATGAGGGGAGCTGGACTGGACAAACGCAGATCAAGTCAATATGGTTAAAGATACATTCTCCTTTTTTTGTCTATAAAATGGCAGTTTATGTACACTTCAATATAGTCTACAAATTGTGAACACACTATCATTGGTCAGCAAACGTTTACTTTTGCCCTAAGGTGGTTATAGCCTCACACTGCAGACTTGCACTAATTCACACTCAGATAGCTCATTACTTTGTGGTCACAGTAACATAATTTCTAACTGCGCAACAACTATATTATTGCTGCGTCAAAGGCTTCCAGGCCCCACCAAGGCCGCTTATCAGAGGCCTAGTCTGAGGGTAGCTCAACCCTTTACTCTAAATATAAATCATGTCCTGTCTCTCTCAGAAATCTTAGAACAGGGAAGAACTTACAGACAGCCATGGGGATCCTGGGGGCAATTCTCGCCTCCCTTTTGCCCTCTCTCTCTCTCCCTCTTTCTCTACTCACTTGCTGGGGCCGAGGCTACCTCCTTGGACTCGGGACCCCGGCAGGCTGGGAGCCACCCCTGGTAGTTTCGCCACGGAGCCAGCCCGCTCTTCAGTGGCAAATGCACACGATCCACACCCAGCACCACCGCCGGGGCAGCTGGTGCATCTGGCAACCCCGCACCTTCCGGGACTCTGGCGCAACTAAGCCAGCTCCCAACCCCCAGCGGTGCCTCATGCAAACCACGCCTTGCTCCGCTTCCACCAGGTGGGAGAACACTGGCAGTGGCCTCTCCGGGTCGCCTCCATGAATCGGTCCCTGTCGCAGCCCCTGAGACCTTGCTGCTCGCACGAGAGCGGCCAAACACCTCTTAACCTTGACAATCTTTAACTTGGCGTCTCCAGGTGCTCTTGACATTCTCTTTCTTTAGTCCACATATCCTCTTTTTCCTTCAAGGAGGGCCCGTTCCGCTAAACATTTTCCGGACCCCAGTTTAGCATTGAACAACTTTCTAACAACCATGTGTTAAGACACTTCTCTGCTCTTTATGCAGAGACTGCATTCAAACTCTTGTCTTCTTCTAGCACCAAGACATCATCACTCCACATTCTAACATCTACATTCTAACATCACTCCACATTCTAACATCCTGTAGAGGTGAGTTTGCCAATCACCCCTCCCCCCTTTTTCAACTTCTTTACAAATTAAATTACCTTTGTTATGTGTGTTCTTCACCTGCAATTCACATTACTCTCTACTAAGGCTACTAGCCACTCACAGCTGACACAGTGCCAAAACTAAAGACTTGCTTTGTTATCACATTTTTTTTCCATTCACAAGCTTGAAAAGTTGGCAGGAACAAGGTAAACAACAACTTACTTCCAAAGTGACCCTGCCTGCACTAAAAAATTTAAAGCAATGCTAGTTAGGGCAATGCAATTTGTAATGAAGCCAAGGTTTGATTTGGGAAGGGCATCTGAGGACACACAGCATGAATTTTACAATTCTATATTTTGAAGAGGGAATGGACAAAATATGAATACAGTGGGGGGACAGCTAATAAGGAATTTGTCTCTGCAATACGCTCTCTTTGACTGCTAGGATACACTGTCTAAAGAGGTTCCTGTGGTAAAAACAATAACTGGGTGGGGAGAGGCACTCTTGATTTTAAGCCTTAATGCCACAATAGGAAACAGCACCTGAGCACTGCAGTGGTGAAGCACTCTGCCTGCAAACTCACCAGAGGCAAGCCACTGCTGTAGCCCTGCAGCACAGAGGGAATCATGGCTAAGCCCTCCCTGCAGGCCTGGATAAACTAAACAAGGAATCTACAACTTCTTCACAGCTCTTTAACTCATTCAAGAAATAAAACTATAGCAAGCAGAGATCCCTCCACCATCTTCTTCATATGTGTATGTCACACACCCACAGTGATGCTGAAATTAACAAATTAGCAGCTTACATTAGAAGATACTGAAACTTTTTTTCCATCTATCTTTGTAGGTTCCCTTCTACATATGTAGCCACCTCCAATTCTGGGAAAAAATGAGCCCTATTTTTCAGAAGTGTTTTGCATGCACAACTTTAGTTGCTGTTTTAGGTACACTGCAAGTAGCTAGCACTTCTAGAAAAACTAACAAACAAAAAAACCACAAAAACTAAGAAACCAAAACACATTTGGGTACATGAAAAAGGACTGGCTGGAAGGAAAAAGGTTTCTTATTGACTTACGAATCACCTGGTGTTACCTTTAGTTTAACTTTACACACTGGGAACCACTTGATTGAACAGCCTCGTATCAACTCAAAATAAATTAATAGCAGGTTATGCTATGTCACAGCTGTAAACTATTTTGTTTAATCTTAGAGTACAGTAAGTTACCTATTTCAAGATGAAAAATCACAATGCAAATTGGAAGAAATAATGTAAACTACTTGTACACAGCAAAGGGCAAAGGATTAGCTGAATCAACAGCTCAGTGAAGACATCTGCTCAGCATGAAGCATCCTCCCCTATTTCCTTCCCTAGCCCAAACTTCCTTGTTAAATTTTCTTTATCTTCTTGGCCTAATTTTTAAAACTCTAGCTGTCATCTTCCCATCTTCTGGGATAACTCCTATTTCTAATTTCACTTGTAAATTTTGTCCCAATAAGTCGCTACCCACCCCTGGGACCAATAAGACATCC